AAAACTATGTAAGCAGCTGGCTATATTGCCGGTTGCCAGCACTTTTTGAGAACCCTGAAACACTCCAAGAAGTGCAGCAGTCAGCGGTCAGCGAGAAAGATGTGCTTCAGATGTGCCTACCTGTAATTTACTTTTAAATAATGCTGTTGTCAGCTCGCTGCCTGGCTCCGCTAGCCCCCATGGTTATTCCAGGCAGCCAATACTCTAATTTTTACTTTTAATATTAATTCTCATTATTGTTATTTATTTTTGAGCAAGAGTTAGTACAAATAACGATTGTTGTTGTTGTTGTTGTTGCATACCTGCATCATATCTTCCACCTCTGTAGCCGCCTCCACCGCGTCCACCTCCGTAGCTACCCCTTCTTCCTCCTCCTCTTCCTCCACCACTTCCACGGGCCTTAGCTCTTGACACCTTAATGTTTCGCCCATCCAGGTCCTAGGAGGAAAATTGAATAACAATTCCATTTATAACTGCACTGTGAATTCAGTGAACAATACACAGGTTGCTATCCAGAGAAAACAAATGACATCACTGGTTTTCCCATGAAGTAATGTCTGAGGAATTTCAATGCAAAAATTCCATACCGATGACGTGTCTCTACCCAGTAAGTGAGATAGTTCAGTCTGTGAAAGCTTCCATAATTGTGATAAGGGTACGTTTAAAGATATCACCCATTTTGCAGTCAGTCACTTTTCAAGTTCTAAGGTATCAGGGTTGGCACACAGAAAAAGTGTCCCTTTCCCCTGAGTAGAGCTGTCCCTTCAAAAGAGGTAATAAATACAAAGATTATGTGGGCATTTTTCCAGGCATTTTTTTTGTGGGCATTTTTCCATAATAACCAAGTTAATAAATTAAACAACGTGATAGCTTGAATTCTGAGTAAGTAGTAAACTGAAACGGGGTCTCAAAATCTACTGAGCACATTTGTTTTGATTTCTACTCTCTTGGAGATCAGTCTGGAAAATCTGCACATGGATATTGGAATTTAGCAAGTTTATTAAGGAATTTGTTGCCATCATTGTAGAAAGAAGTGTTACCCCGCCATCCAAATCATCAATTGCCTTTTGGGCATCCTTTTCTTCATAGAATGTCACAAAGCCAAAGCCTCTTGATCGACCAGTCTCTCTGTCTTCTACAACTCTGGCTGGAAGGAACAATATTAGAAAATACACAAAATCAATATAAAATTCCATTATCTGGCTGGCTTCACAAGAGAGGAAAATAAAAGAGGTCCAATGATCTAAATCCTTAATGATCGACACTGAACTAATGATTATATGCATATTATATACCATATTTCCTCAAATAGTGGCCGTCCCTCGATTAATTGCCTCCTTTCAACTGAAATTTTAACCCTATAAGTCCCAACAGTGACCAACAGCAATTTTCTCCTAACAATGTCCATACACTGTCAAGAGATAAGGTTGTGAGAATATAAAAATATGATCACAAAAGGGAAAATGCCTTGATGTTTTATTAAATCTAATTCTTAAAGAAAATGTATGGAGATCAGTTTGGAGAATTTGTATGTGGATACTGGGGCTTAAAGGGTTAAAATAATCTCCTCCCTCAAATAATCACCTCCCCCCCAGCCCGCTCGCCATCTTCTCTTCCTTTTATCCTCTCCCTGTCAAGATAAAGTGCAATGTGATCTAGCAAAACTGATCAGTGACGATTCAAGCTATGAAAATTAATCAAGGACCTAAATTTGGAACACATTAAAAAGCCCATGTTCAGTTTATTTGATGTGATTTTTTTTATTTAATGGGAAAAGAAAACAACATATTTAAGGCATGACTTCCATGCCCGGCTATTATTTGAGGAAATATGTACTTGAACAGCAGGATGAGGAAATAATTGTAGAAGAGATCATCCCAGTTAAATACACAACTTATGAGGTTACATCATTTTGTTATATTTTTTCAGGGTGTTTTCACGACTGCATAAGTTGCATATTTAACTTTGATGATCTTCTCTACATTTATGGATCAACATTACAGACCATCCAAACATCCTGATCTCATCAGGATTCTGCCAGTTTGGGGATAGGTTGGTTGTTGATGGTCAAGAACAACAGCATTTCTCTCCTCTGGGAACTAAACTCTTTTTTTTTTGTAAATTATTTGAGAAAAAATTCCATTGTATTGACCCACAACATGCTGTACTGATGATGATTCCATACCCATCGCTGAGAGTACAAGACTCAATGACTTTGACATTCCACCGTCACTTGATACACCGTCCCAGCGATCAACAGCGGAATACGATAGCCGAGAGAGCTTGGAGGACAACCGTAAGTTTCTTTTTTTTTTCTTGTACTTGGTGTTTCGATAATGAATTATTATGATTAATCAGTTAGTATGCAGTAAAGATACAAGGCTGTGTCTTTCACTGGACAAAAGCAGTGTGGAGAAAGTTTAGTAAAAGAAAACAAATGAAATAGATTGCAATGGGACTAACGACAAGTAGGCTTACTAGAAATTTAAAATGACTTACCAAACTGACGCGTATTATTACATGAATCTACTCGCTTGTTACGTGTGGGCTGTCCGAGTAACAATTTAAAATGACTCACCAAAACTGACGCGTATTATTACATGAATCTACTCGCTTGTTACGTGTGGGCTGTCCGAGTAACAAATAAAAAAAGATGACATAATTTAAAATGACTCACCAAACTGACGCGTATTAGTAGATGAATCTACTCGCTTGTGACTATGCCTAAATTAATAAGCGATGTTAATTTTTTCTTTTTCAGGGAGCTAGGACTTCAATCAGCTTACTCCAGAGACAACAGTGTATTCAGATACATCAAGAAGTTGATGGCCCTTCCCTTCTTGAGATTTCACGAGATCGCACCGATGTTCGTTCGACTGAGTGTACAGACCCAAGCACAGCCCCTTCTGGATCTCGTCAACTACATGAACCGCAAGTGGATCGAGAACCCTGTCTTTACACCAAAGGACTGGAGCGTCTACAAACAACCAATTCGTACCAACAACGACATAGAAGGTTGGCATAATGCCCTAAATCACAGAGCTGGTGGGCAATGCAACCTGCCTTTATATTATCTCATCGAGCTATTGGACAGGGAGGTGAAACTCACAGCTCTCACCATTAGGCTGGTCTCCGAGAGGAAATTGAAGCGCATGCAGCATAAAACTTACAGACATCTACAAGTCAAGTTGTTTGAATACTGGGAGCAGTATGACAACCTGCAGAAGACCGCCTCACAGCTCCTCAAGGTCTGCTCACATCTAAACGGCTCAGCACGTTAAAAGTAGTTACATAGAAGGATTTGCAATTGTCTCATAGGGGCGGGTATCACTCTGATTGCCCACACGTCCCCGCATGTAATAAGGTATATTTTAATTTAAGTGTATCAGTTAAGTTGATAGTAGTTGACGTGCACAGAAAAATTTGAAAAATGTTTATTAGTGGTTTAGTCAAAAGTACTGAATGTTAGGGTAGCCATATTACTATCATTAAAATGAATCGGTTTTGTTAAAAGTAGCTACATACAAGTATTTGAAATTGCCTTTATAGGGGCTGGTTAAGTTGATAGTAGTTGACGCGTGTCGCGTGTCCTTTTTTGTAATAATTTCATTGAATCGGTTTCGCTAATGGTAGTTCAATGATTTCAAATTGTCTTTATAGGGGCGCGTGTCACTCTGATCGCCCACACGTCCCCACATGTAATAACGTATATTTTAATTTAAATGAATCGGTTAAGTTAATGGTAGTTGACGGCACTTGTCGTTTTTTGCTTAGAATTTGAAATTGTCTTTATTGGGGCGGGCGTCACTCGGACAGCCCACACGTCCCTGCATGTAATTTGTGTTAATTGTAAGCAATAAATATGTTTGTGTATTACAACAACTTCATTGAAAAATTCCTGTAGCCAAACCAGAGTCACTACCGGAACCGGAAATGGGAAGTGAAGGACATTGAGACGTTCAACGTACGTCACTTAGCAACCATGTTAATATTTCATCCCAAGATGGAGGCGTTTTTATCCGGTCTCTCGGAAGTTGTGGACCTTCCTTCAAAGAGAAAAGCTTCCTGATAGAACACAACAACAGCAAGACCTGATATCGGTAGATTGATTTGCGGATTACAGCTACTGTACATGCAACACATAAACGTTGTGATGGAGCGAAATCAACTACAAGACTAAGCTTGAGAGTCATCCGAAATCTGAACTGAACTGGCTTCTACACATATGAATGTTTATAACGTTTGCGAATTGACTTCTAAACGTTTGCGAACTGACTTCTACACGTTTGCGAACTGACTTCTACACGTTTGCGAACTGACCAGAGACGTTTAAAGAAAATGTATGGAGATCAGTTTGGAGAATTTGTATGTGGATACTGGGGCTTAAAGGGTTAAAATAATCTCCTCCCTCAAATAATCACCTCCCCCCCAGCCCGCTCGCCATCTTCTCTTCCTTTTATCCTCTCCCTGTCAAGATAAAGTGCAATGTGATCTAGCAAAACTGATCAGTGACGATTCAAGCTATGAAAATTAATCAAGGACCTAAATTTGGAACACATTAAAAAGCCCATGTTCAGTTTATTTGATGTGATTTTTTTTATTTAATGGGAAAAGAAAACAACATATTTAAGGCATGACTTCCATGCCCGGCTATTATTTGAGGAAATATGTACTTGAACAGCAGGATGAGGAAATAATTGTAGAAGAGATCATCCCAGTTAAATACACAACTTATGAGGTTACATCATTTTGTTATATTTTTTCAGGGTGTTTTCACGACTGCATAAGTTGCATATTTAACTTTGATGATCTTCTCTACATTTATGGATCAACATTACAGACCATCCAAACATCCTGATCTCATCAGGATTCTGCCAGTTTGGGGATAGGTTGGTTGTTGATGGTCAAGAACAACAGCATTTCTCTCCTCTGGGAACTAAACTCTTTTTTTTTTGTAAATTATTTGAGAAAAAATTCCATTGTATTGACCCACAACATGCTGTACTGATGATGATTCCATACCCATCGCTGAGAGTACAAGACTCAATGACTTTGACATTCCACCGTCACTTGATACACCGTCCCAGCGATCAACAGCGGAATACGATAGCCGAGAGAGCTTGGAGGACAACCGTAAGTTTCTTTTTTTTTTCTTGTACTTGGTGTTTCGATAATGAATTATTATGATTAATCAGTTAGTATGCAGTAAAGATACAAGGCTGTGTCTTTCACTGGACAAAAGCAGTGTGGAGAAAGTTTAGTAAAAGAAAACAAATGAAATAGATTGCAATGGGACTAACGACAAGTAGGCTTACTAGAAATTTAAAATGACTTACCAAACTGACGCGTATTATTACATGAATCTACTCGCTTGTTACGTGTGGGCTGTCCGAGTAACAATTTAAAATGACTCACCAAAACTGACGCGTATTATTACATGAATCTACTCGCTTGTTACGTGTGGGCTGTCCGAGTAACAAATAAAAAAAGATGACATAATTTAAAATGACTCACCAAACTGACGCGTATTAGTAGATGAATCTACTCGCTTGTGACTATGCCTAAATTAATAAGCGATGTTAATTTTTTCTTTTTCAGGGAGCTAGGACTTCAATCAGCTTACTCCAGAGACAACAGTGTATTCAGATACATCAAGAAGTTGATGGCCCTTCCCTTCTTGAGATTTCACGAGATCGCACCGATGTTCGTTCGACTGAGTGTACAGACCCAAGCACAGCCCCTTCTGGATCTCGTCAACTACATGAACCGCAAGTGGATCGAGAACCCTGTCTTTACACCAAAGGACTGGAGCGTCTACAAACAACCAATTCGTACCAACAACGACATAGAAGGTTGGCATAATGCCCTAAATCACAGAGCTGGTGGGCAATGCAACCTGCCTTTATATTATCTCATCGAGCTATTGGACAGGGAGGTGAAACTCACAGCTCTCACCATTAGGCTGGTCTCCGAGAGGAAATTGAAGCGCATGCAGCATAAAACTTACAGACATCTACAAGTCAAGTTGTTTGAATACTGGGAGCAGTATGACAACCTGCAGAAGACCGCCTCACAGCTCCTCAAGGTCTGCTCACATCTAAACGGCTCAGCACGTTAAAAGTAGTTACATAGAAGGATTTGCAATTGTCTCATAGGGGCGGGTATCACTCTGATTGCCCACACGTCCCCGCATGTAATAAGGTATATTTTAATTTAAGTGTATCAGTTAAGTTGATAGTAGTTGACGTGCACAGAAAAATTTGAAAAATGTTTATTAGTGGTTTAGTCAAAAGTACTGAATGTTAGGGTAGCCATATTACTATCATTAAAATGAATCGGTTTTGTTAAAAGTAGCTACATACAAGTATTTGAAATTGCCTTTATAGGGGCTGGTTAAGTTGATAGTAGTTGACGCGTGTCGCGTGTCCTTTTTTGTAATAATTTCATTGAATCGGTTTCGCTAATGGTAGTTCAATGATTTCAAATTGTCTTTATAGGGGCGCGTGTCACTCTGATCGCCCACACGTCCCCACATGTAATAACGTATATTTTAATTTAAATGAATCGGTTAAGTTAATGGTAGTTGACGGCACTTGTCGTTTTTTGCTTAGAATTTGAAATTGTCTTTATTGGGGCGGGCGTCACTCGGACAGCCCACACGTCCCTGCATGTAATTTGTGTTAATTGTAAGCAATAAATATGTTTGTGTATTACAACAACTTCATTGAAAAATTCCTGTAGCCAAACCAGAGTCACTACCGGAACCGGAAATGGGAAGTGAAGGACATTGAGACGTTCAACGTACGTCACTTAGCAACCATGTTAATATTTCATCCCAAGATGGAGGCGTTTTTATCCGGTCTCTCGGAAGTTGTGGACCTTCCTTCAAAGAGAAAAGCTTCCTGATAGAACACAACAACAGCAAGACCTGATATCGGTAGATTGATTTGCGGATTACAGCTACTGTACATGCAACACATAAACGTTGTGATGGAGCGAAATCAACTACAAGACTAAGCTTGAGAGTCATCCGAAATCTGAACTGAACTGGCTTCTACACATATGAATGTTTATAACGTTTGCGAATTGACTTCTAAACGTTTGCGAACTGACTTCTACACGTTTGCGAACTGACTTCTACACGTTTGCGAACTGACCAGAGACGTTGGCGAAACGACTCGTTGGCGAAACGACCGACATTCCTTCATGTTATATTTATATTGTGAATGAATCAATTTCGAATCAGCTAAACAATAAAGATTTTAGTTCATTGAAATGTGTTAATATCTCTCACACTTGCTCCTCTAGTTAAAACTCAGTTAAAGAGTGAATTCCTTCCAATTCTACTAAGAGTTAATGCTTATTAATTTTGTATACCATTTTGTTTTTCTACCGAACAAAATCGAATCAATCGCGTCGATTGAGTTCGATTGGGTTTGGTAATCGAACTTAATCGAACTCACAAAAAAGCTCCAGTTCGATTATGTTCGATTGCCGAACCAATCGAACTCCAATCGAACGATTGGGTTCGATTGGTTTTTGGTTCGGTTTCGTTCGATTGACTACGCCGGGTGAAACTTTCCAATGAATTCTTATGATACTTTATGTACAAGAAACACCTTACAGAGAATACTTAGCTGTGACAGTCGATTTAGTGCACATTTTAGATAGCAATTGTCGTCTCAGAACACTAGAAATGTCATTTCGGGGGCATCAAGATTTCAAAGGTTTGTGGACATCCATCGATCTAAAGAGGGCCTTATAACTCAACCATCGCTAACTGGTCCTTATTACAAGTTGAAATTTTCAAACCGCGGAAGGGTCTTTTCGTCTTGTGATGAAAACTTCCACATGCTGCAACCTTCTTACTTGACCAACTGTTGGGCCAGTTGAAGTCAACCAGTGGACATTTCCACTGTCAGATCGTCATGATGGACGTTTCGATTCCAAGACCTTCGAACGTTCGATTTCAAGAACCTTTTTCTGTTACAGGCTACAGTACTGCCGTAATAACATTACCGAATGCACTACTGAATGAAAATCAAGCACCTTTCGTCATTGCAAGCTTTGGATTTGAAAAATGAACGCAACCTTTGTATAGTAAGCTTAGATATTCAGAGTTAATTTCTCTTACCATCTGAAACTTCACCGATTTGTTCAAAGTGTGCTCTTAAACCATCGTTGGTTGTGTTAAAGCTCAAAGAACCAACATAGAGCCTCCTCTTATCTTCTTCGTCTGCCATTTCTCTTAAAATTTTACCTCTCGAGGAAACAGTTGACAGAACAAAAACCACCTCGTGCTCCGACAAACTTGCGTGCTCCTCTGCTACGGCGTCTATTGAACACTAACCTGATAAACCGGATAAACCGGTTTCTTGCTTCGTACCCAGTTCCTGCACGGGATCAGTGAAGAGATCAGAAAAGCCCAGTTCCCACAATTGGAGATTTATTTTTTCCGAAAAAGAGTGTTTGATAGTTTTAATAAATATAAATCGTCCAAATCAAGTATCTGTGCTACAGTGTAGCACCGATGTTGTACGAGATTACACCTCACGTTCATCGGAGCATGGTGGTGGAACTCCAGGAGCCCATCACCCTCCGGCCTGGTACGTCAGTTGTCAGTTAAATTTCAGACGATTTGTCTGGTTGCCAGTTAAAATTTTGGCCACTTGTCACAGCGACCGTATTTCCTCGAATGATAGCCGGCGGCGATTATTTCTTTTTTCGCACAAAAAGGGGGCGATTATTCAAGGGAGGCGCTTATTTCAAATATTGCCCACTGGAAGTCAAATAAACTGAAGTGTTCCAAATTTAGTTCCTTCATTAATTTTCCGAGCTTGAATTGTCACTGATCAGACGATGGCGAGAGCCAATTATTCGAGAGAGGCGATTCTTTTAAGTATTTCCCTCAAAGGGGGCGATTATTTGAGGAGGCGAGGGACGGCTATCATTCGACGAAATACGGTAACCCCATCCAGAGCCTCTATAGTAAACAATAAAAACACTAAGTTCGTAAAATAAACAATAGAAAGTAAAAAGCCTTATTGTTTCTATCTAAAATTATACTTTAAATAAAACTGCCAATACTTTCACTGTTGCTTACTGTTGCTTACGAGAGGAATCTCGTTCCATTCTTTGAACAAAAAATATGAAGAACGTAGTTGGGCTTTACTACAATGAGATCTGTCAATTCTCAAATCACTAGCATGGCGCTTTGGTAAATGTGGACTAAAAACCCAGTATTATTATGATAATTGTGATCCAAAAGGCCATTTGAGGGATTTAAACTCGGGGTAGCTAATGGAACGTTCGGTGATCTGACCCAATCGAACTCCAATCGTTCGATTGACTTCGATTGGGTTCGGTAATCGAACTCTCCGAAAAGTTCCAGTTCGATTACCGAAAAAATCGAACAACAATCCGACCGATTGGGTTCGATTGATTTATGGTTCGGTTTCGTTCGATTATCTACCCCGGGTTAAAAATATGGACAAGTCGATGTATGCGCCGTCGAACCCGAAGATTCACTGAAGATTAACCCACCCAAGATTGATAAGCGCCTGAGTAAATGAGGAGTGTGTAGGACGATTGAGAACAATCTTAGCCGCTTTATTGTGAAGTACCTTGAGGGAATTCATTATCAGTTCCACCAATATCATAGCTGATTTGACGTATGTTTAACTCCTTTGCTTAGTTTTTTTTGCTTCTTTTAAATTTTAAATTTCATTCGTCACTTAGAAACGAGAAGGACTGATGATTGACCGAGTTAACTTTCGCAGACTTCTGGTACTGTTACTTGGCGCGTTCCCAATGTAGCGATCCCAGAAACAATTGCGGGATGCATTTGGCTCCAGTTTCTTCCTGGTTTCTAAAGTGGCGAGTGGCGCAATAGGATCTAATGATAACCGCACATGTAACTACACCTTAACCCCTGCATGTTATCAGCCAAGATTGAAAACAAGCAGCTCATAGGACAATCTTTATCGAATCAGCTGTAAAGATGCGCCAATCAACTTTATCAACTCATTCGACAGAACAAAATCTTTGTGTTCTCCTCCCCAAAAGACGCAAATCAACTGTTTCTTTAGAAACGAAAACCTTTATAGATTTGTGGAGATGCGAGCGCCTTATGTGTGCTGACGTATTAGTTTTGACAGTTTTTCTTTCTCTTTTTTTCGTTAAACCAACATTCATTTGTTTTAATAAGCGTATGTTTCCACTCTTGGAAACAAATCCTTGGAAGTGTAAGCCGTCCAGCTATTTCTAGCCCGCGTAGCAAGCGTTTGCACGCGAGTTCGTTAAGAAAGTTAGGACGAGTGCAAAAAAGAGGAATGAAGAGGGAGGGGGAGGGTAGAGAAGGAAAATCTTTTCCCCTGGTCCTCCCCCTTCAATCTTCTATTTCTTTCATTCTCGCTCCAAATTTCGTGCAATAACTCGATTGGAAACGATTGCTACGTAGGCTAAAATACTTCAGAATTGCTCCAAGCCTCTCCTTATCGGATTAAGCGAGGCAGAGTACACCCTACGCCCCCTCCCGATTTTCTTTGAGGGGAAGGGGCGGCTGTACACATACGAAAATTATATTGGGTTCAAATTTTGCCATTAGATTTTTTGGCGCCAACATCACCAGCCCTGGGGTTGAGAATATCAAACGCGCTAACATCAGTAATGTAAAAATTCCGAAGCGGCGCTCCCGTGGCATTGGAGCACCATGGGTAATAAAATTTGGTTACCGTATCTGTGCAAACAAGAAATTTTGGTAGTGACAAAGTTAGCAGATGTGAAACGTCACACTTACTAGTAGCCTCCCCGCAGACGTCCGTTGGGGTTCGTTTGTTGTCACGCATTCATTTCTCCCCACGGACCGTGGGGAGAAATGAATGCGTGACAACAAACGAACCCCAACGGACGTCTGCGGGGAGGCTAACTTACTAGCTGATAGGTGTTCAAGGCATATTCAATCTGTGTTTAACTTGATAATGGACATCCATCTTATGGTCAATTGACAGCTGTCAAAAAGGTATCCGCTGACTAGTGTCACGTGACTTATCGCGGACTCAAGTGAATAACTTATCGAGGTTCAAGTGTTCAGTTACAGTATCGGTTTTAATTGATCGC